TGGGAGATTTGGTGGTTTTTTGGTGGCACTAGATGTGTACAGAGGTTTTATTGGCTGTTTAAGGCAGTTTTGGCCCCAAACCTTGAGCTTGGAGCAGAGACTGAAGCTGAGGTGCGACAGGTCAGATCTTCAGCTGACACCAAACTGGAGCAGCAGAATTGGCTTTAGGATGGCAGCAGCAATGCTCCTGGAGGTGTCCTCCAAGGTGGAGATGTTGCCTCACACCACCTCATGCTCTTTGTACCTTCCACTCTCACAGGTAGTGGCTTTCGCCTCCCTTTTCTTCATCCTGGTCTCCATCACAACCTTCTGCCTGGAGACACACGAGGCCTTCAACATCAACGTCAACGTGACGGAGACCCTGGTGGTTGGCAACACCACCACGGTGCTGCTGACCCACAAAGTGGAGACAGAGCCCATCCTCACCTACATCGAAGGTGTCTGTGTCCTCTGGTTCACCCTCGAGTTCCTGGTTCGCATCATCTGCTGCCCAGACAAGCTTCTCTTCGTCAAGAACCTCCTCAACATCATTGACTTTGTGGCCATCTTGCCCTTCTACCTTGAGGTAGGGCTCAGTGGCTTGTCCTCCAAAGCTGCTCGGGACGTCTTGGGTTTCCTGAGGGTGGTTCGTTTCGTCCGGATCCTTCGGATCTTCAAGCTGACCAGGCACTTTGTGGGGCTTCGTGTGTTGGGCCACACCCTCCGTGCCAGCACCAATGAATTCCTGCTCCTCATCATCTTCTTGGCCTTGGGGGTGTTGATCTTTGCCACCATGATCTACTATGCCGAGCGCATCGGAGCCAAGACGTCTGACCCCACTGGGAGTGACCACACTCACTTTAAGAACATCCCTATTGGGTTCTGGTGGGCTGTGGTGACCATGACAACCCTTGGCTATGGGGATATGTACCCCAAGACCTGGTCAGGCATGGTGGTGGGTGCCCTGTGTGCCCTGGCAGGGGTGTTGACCATCGCCATGCCCGTGCCAGTCATTGTCAATAACTTTGGGATGTATTATTCGTTGGCCATGGCCAAGCAGAAGCTGCCAAAGAAGAAGAAGAAGCATATACCCCGTCCAGCCCCTCTGGATTCTCCTACCTATGGCAAATCCGAGGAGAACTCCCCCAGGAACAGCACCCAGAGTGACACTTGTCCCTTGGCGGTGGAGGAGGGAGCGACCGAGAGGAAACGCTCAGGTGAGACCTCAAAGGTGGGACAGAGGGAGGGGGAGACCTCCTGGACACCCCACGGCAGAGGGTTTGGTCCAAGAGACAGAGGAGAGGGAGGGGTAAGACCTCCTGGAGACTCCAAGGCAGAGGGTTTGGTCCAAGAGGCAGGTGAGAGGAAGGGAGAAGAACTCTTGGAGATCCCAAGGCAGAGGGTTTGGTCCTCTGTTGTCCCAGAGGTGAGGCAGAGGGAAGGGAAAACCTCCTGGAGACCCCAAGGCAGTGGATTTGGTCATCTGTTGTCCCAGAGGGAGGGGGAAACCTCTTGGAGACCCCAAGGCAGCAGGTTTGGTCCTCTGATGTCCCAGAGGGAGGGGGAGACCTCTTGGAGACCCCAAGGCAGTGGGTTTGGTCCTCTGTTGTCCCAGAGGTGAGGCAGAAGGAAGGGAAGACCTCCTGGAGACCCCAAAGCAGTGGGTTTTGTCATCTGTTGTCCCAGAGGGAGTAGACTTCTTGGAAATCCCAAAGCAGTGGGTCTGGTCATCTGTTGTCCCAGAGAGAGGGAGAAGACCTCTTGGAGACCCCAAGGCAGTAGCTTTGGTCCTCTGTTGTCCCAGAGAGAGGGAGAAGACCTCTTGGAGACCCCAAGGCAGTAGCTTTGGTCCTCTGTTGTCCCAGAGAGAGGGAGAAGACCTCTTGGAGACCCCAAGGCAGTAGCTTTGGTCCTCTGTTGTCCCAGAGAGAGGGAGAAGACCTCTTGGAGACCCCAAGGCAGTAGCTTTGGTCCTCTGTTGTCCCAGAGAGAGGGAGAAGACCTCTTGGAGACCCCAAGGCAGTAGCTTTGGTCCTCTGTTGTCCCAGAGAGAGGGAGAAGACCTCTTGGAGACCCCAAGGCAGTAGCTTTGGTCCTCTGTTGTCCCAGAGAGAGGGAGAAGACCTCTTGGAGACCCCAAGGCAGTGGGTTTGGTCCCAGAAATGGGGCAGAGAGCATGGCCCAGCTGTGGGCAGGTGTTGGTGGGCACCATCTCTTGGGCTGAGCTTGGGGGTCTGCCATGGTGCCACCACTGGCTACAGTGGCTGCTCTGCCCCTTTCATCTTGGGTTGCTGCCAGTGGAGCATCTGGAACTCAAGGAGGGAAATCAAGGAAGGACCATAGGACCATGGTGGAGCTGTGTCCTGCATTCCTTGACCCCCGAGCATATCTGGCCATGTGTTTTAGAGGGGTGGACCTTCACCTGTGGTGACCCACAGAGCTCTGAATGGTCCAGAGAGATGTTTGCCTTCAGAAATGTCCCTTTTCCATGTCCCTACATGTCCCACCTGCCCCAGGAGCCCTGGGAAGCAGGTCAACCCCATCCCCACATGTCACGCCTCCCGCACTACATGTCCCACCTGCCCCAGGAGCCCTGGGAAGCAGGTCAACTCCATCCCTTCACCCAAGAGCAGGAGCTCAGCCCAGGTCCTCCCTTGACAGAACATCTCCTCAGCTAAGGAACCAGTTGACCCAAATCAACCCTTCCCACCAACCCCAGCAGCCCAAACCTCAGAGGTGTGACACCTGGAGAGCTAATTGCCACCAATCAGCTGGGTGGACCTCAAAGACCCGGTGTCTTTCACCCCTAGCTTTGGTTTCGTTCAGGGTTTATAAGCCTCAGCAGGGCTGGAGCTGCTGTTTGATGCTTGGGGTTGAGACCTGTCATGGTCCTTCTCCTCTGGAGCTCTGAGTTAGTGTGTCCAGGCTGGGATGGTCCCTGAACTGGTGGGTGTTCCTCTAGGTTGTCTGATATCTCAAGTGCTGTGTCCTCAAGAAGGACATTGAAGGGCTGGAGGTGTCCAGGGATGGGGATGGAGCTGGGAAGGGTCTGGAGCACATGGAGCAGCTGTGGTGGCTCATCCTGGAGAAGAGGAGGCTCAGGGGAACCTTCTCACTCTACAACTCCCTGACAGGAGGTGCAGCCAGGTGAGGGTTGGGATCTTCTCCCAGGGAACAAGTGACAGGACAAAGGACATAGTCTTAAGTTGCTCCAGAGAAGGTTTAGGTTGGACATCAGGAAGAATTTCTTCATGGAAAGGGCCTTGGATTAGACCTTGGAATGTGCCACCCAGGGAGGTGGTGGAGTCACCATCTCTGGAAGTGTTCAAGGAGAGACACTTAGTGCTCTGGTCTAGTTGCCATGGTGGTGTTAGGTCATGGGTTGGATTGAATGATCTTGGAAGTCTTCACCCTTGACAGAAGAGGTGATTAGACACTGGAAGGAGCTGCTCAGGGAAGTGGTGGAGTCACCATCCCCGGAGGTGGTTAAGGAGAGACACTTATTGCCACGGGCTAGTTAACATAGTGGTGTTAGGTCATAGGTTGAACTTGATCTCAGAGGTCTTCACCCTTCCCAGAAAGGGTGGGTAGACCCTGGAATGTGCTGCCTAGGGAGGTGGTGGAGTCACCATCCCTGGAGGTGGTTAAGGACAGACACTTTGTTCCATGGTCTAGTTGCCATGGTGGTGTTAGATCACAGGTTGGACTCAATGATCTCAGAGCTCTTTTTCCACCTCAATGACTCTATGTGATTCTCCTTCCTTGGCTGATCTGCCCAAACCCTTCTGAGCACCCCAAGCTCTTCACCCTGTGCATTTGTCCTCTGCTGATGGGTCTCTGCCACCTCCTTGCAGACTCCAAGCAGAATGGTGAGGCCAACGTGGTGCTGTCGGATGAGGAGCAGCCACTGTCGCCCACTGAGGAGGAGAAGAGGCCCATGAGACGTTCCAGCACACGGGACAAGAACAACAAGTCCTCCACATGCTTCCTGCTGGCCACAGGTGACTTCTCCTGTGCAGCAGATGGAGGTATCCAGAAAGGTATGCCTGGAGGTGTAAGCTGGGGAGGGTGACATGGAGGAGGTTAAGGGTTGGTGGGTTGATCTCCATCCTCCTGCCTGGTTGTCCTCTGCTCCCCAAATCCATGGCTTCCATCTGCTTCATCTCTGTCCACCACATCTCTCTGTGCTGGTTCTACACCTTTGATTTTCTCCTGCCCTGATTGTCCCCAACTGGGGTCTGTGACCCCATGATGCCCATTGTCCTCCTTGGGGACACCTCTGTGATGTGACCCCGGTTCCGTTGTCCTCCTTGGGGACACCTCTGTGACCCTGTGCTGTTTCCACCTACATCCTTGGGGATGTCTCTGTGACCACACTCTGGTTGCATTGTCCTCCTTGGGGACACCTCTGTGACCCCATGATGGTTCCGTTGTCCTCCTTGGGGACACCTCTGTGATGTGCTGTTTCCACCTACATCCTTGGGGATGTCTCTGTGACCACACTCTGGTTGCATTGTCCTCCTTGGGGACACCTCTGTGACCCCATGATGGTTCCGTTGTCCTCCTTGGGGACACCTCTGTGACCCCATGATGGTTCCGTTGTCCTCCTTGGGGACACCTCTGTGACCCCATGATGGTTCCGTTGTCCTCCTTGGGGACACCTCTGTGACCCCATGATGGTTCCGTTGTCCTCCTTGGGGACACCTCTGTGACCCCATGATGGTTCCGTTGTCCTCCTTGGGGACACCTCTGTGACCCCATGATGGTTCCGTTGTCCTCCTTGGGGACACCTCTGTGACCCCATGATGGTTCCGTTGTCCTCCTTGGGGACACCTCTGTGACCCCATGATGGTTCCGTTGTCCTCCTTGGGGACACCTCTGTGACCCCATGATGGTTCCGTTGTCCTCCTTGGGGACACCTCTGTGACCCCATGATGGTTCCGTTGTCCTCCTTGGGGACACCTCTGTGACCCCATGATGGTTCCGTTGTCCTCCTTGGGGACACCTCTGTGACCCTGTGCTGTTTCCACCTACATCCTTGGGGATGTCTCTGTGACCACACTCTGGTTGCATTGTCCTCCTTGGGGACACCTCTGTGATCCTGCTCTTGTTTCATTCCCCTCCTTGGGGACACCTCTGTGACCTCATGCTGGTTCCACCTCCATCCTTGGGGTCAGCTCTGTGACCCTGTGCTGTTTCCACCTCCATCCTTGGGGACACCTCTGTGACCACACTCTGGTGGCACTGTCCTCCTTGGGGACACTTCTGTGACCCCATGCTGGTTCCACCTCCATCCTTGGGGACACCTCTGTGACCTCATTCACTGCCCTCCTCAGGGACAGCTCTGTCCCTTTGCTCCCAAGTGTTCCAGCTTCTCCTGTCCCTCCAGCTCTTCTCCTTGGGCTCCAACCACCCATCTCAGGGTGGTGTGAGGGCAACATCTCCCCTGAGGACATGATAAGGTTGTGACTGAAGGTGGTGACCGAAAGATTTTTAGTAAGGAATAAAAAAAAATCCATACTCTTTTCCTTTCCGTCTCTCTCTGGAGGCTTTAGGTGGCTTCAAGCGTGGGGATGTGTCAAGTGTTGCCTTGCCAGGAGCTCAGGGCTGCCAGCAGGAA